GACCATAGATGTTTTCTTCAAACTTAAGACTTATGATTTGCTATTACTGTTTTATTCTCAACATCAATTGCGACTTCGGTACCGATTGTGACTTCATTTGTATTTTGACATATGTCTGTCTTATTACCTAATAACTCCTATGCTTGTCGCAGTCACTGTACGCATTGTAATTTATTATTGCATTGTAATATATTATCGTACATACTGTAAAATCTTTTTTTATTTTTTACTTTTCATTTTTAAATTTTTGTCATTTTTTTGTTAATTTAATGAGCTAATTCACAAATGTTTTTCGTTGCCTTATAAAAAATTATTTTTGAATATATAATTTTCAATTATTTCAATATTGTTTTAACATTATTTTATTTTAATATATTTTTTTTTTGTTAACTTAAAATGATTTTGTTTAGTTGTATACTTTATGATAAAAGTATTAATGATGTTATTTGTACTAAACATTTAAATATATTGTATATTTTTACTGTATAAACTTAAAAGAATTTTAGCAAAAGTAATAAAGATATTTTTTGTGTTCAATTTGATATTTTTATTTTTCGTTACTTTAACAGTAACAATTTGTCACATAATTTCTAATTATCAATTATTATTTGATGATATGAAAATAATTATAATGTTCTTGTACATTTTATTTATGGTGATTAATGAGTTATTGAGTAGTAAACTAGAAAAAAGTACAAAAAATGATTGCAGTTTATTATTCGCATCGATATATTTTTTTGATTCATTAGTAAAATTGTAATTTTGTTTTTTTAAAGGCGGCATTATGATGTAGCTAGAAATATCAAGGTTAATTTTGATAAAAAGCTAGCTGTTACAATAGGCATATTTGAATTTAATCATTGCAGAATTGTGATACAGATCAATATATTTTTATAATTATAATTTTTTCATTATCTTTAATAATGTTTATACATCTGTATATTTTCTCGAAAATACATTTTTCAAGTGGAATAATTATTTTATTCCAAAATTATGAAGTTTACTTATAAAATAACTCATCTATTTTAAATATCAATGCTAATAAATGTTATTATTTGCTTGGTATTGACATAACAAACAAATTTCGAAAAAAATATTCGTTATTAAATATTGTTACGATTTTTTTTTTGTTTTTTTTTTTGATAGCATTCTTATTCATTTTATTTTATATAAGCGCTTTCATGTGATCTAAAATAAAATATTACATTGTTATTCAACTTTCGACAAATTTTGGCTCATTATATCTAATTTCACCTATTAATAATATTTTCTATAGTTTTTATTACCTCTATTTCAAAGTTAAATGACAATAGTTCAGCAATATACTTATTAGAAAACAAAAAAATTTTAGTTTATTAAATTATTAATTTTTGTAATTTACTATAAAAACGGTAGCACTGTGTGGTTGTGGTATAGTATGTGCGTGGCATAGTTGGGTTATGTATAGATGATATCTGTCAGTGATTATAATCACTTTCATTAGAAATGCTTAAATGCAAAATATGTAGATTGTGTTTAATTTTAAGAAATTGGTGGATTATTCCTATATTTTTTATTCCTGATAAAGTAGTTTTTTGATTAAAAATATAATATATGAATAAATACTAATTAAACAAATTAAATATAGTATAAAATTGATATTCAATATTTTAATATTATAATTTATATGGAGAAATTATAAAAAAAATAAAGTAGCTGTATATTTCTTTACTTTTAAAGCGTATAAAAAATAAAAAGGCTTGATTCAATACTTTTCAATAAAAAATGTTTTTTACTTATGAATAAATACACTGAATTACAAGGATCTTTCATCAGAAGCAAAAATTATCAGAGTAAAATTTCATTTTTAACCTATTTTTTTGGTTCTTTATAGTGGTTTTTTGTGAAAGTTTATAATAAAAATAAAATAAATTTTTTACCAAAACTTTTAGCTTAACTTGCAGATTTGAAAGTAACATCATTAAATAAAACATTTTAAGAGAATTAACAAAATTGTATTGTTATACTTTGTTATATAATATTGTTAAGATTAATATGCAATCAGGAAATTTATAATTACTATCTATAGTAAATTTATCAGAAAAGCTCAATATTTTTTTGCATTTTTATCGTAATAGAAAAATAGTAATAATTTTCTACTAACGTTTAGCGTTTAAAAAGATTTTACAATTGAAATATGCAAAACTGAATTAATTTTAATGATTTACATTGACTAAAAATACTAATAAGAAAAAAGTTGTTAAAAAGATCTACTCAATTGAGCGTATTATACAATTTAATTATAATTGTGAAAATTCATTGTTAAATTCAGGTGAAACTATAAAACATTTTTTTTAGAAATGATTTCTATAGCAACATGTTACCAAAAAATTTGGAATATTTTAGACTGGTAGAAGTACACACAAATAGAATAAAGAATTAATAAACTACAAAGTAAAAATTTTTTATGCTGTAGTTGAAACCTATTATAACTTCATTCTTTGAAAACATTAGAAATGAATAATTTTAATTATCTATATAGAAAATGTGGGCTAAGTAACTTTTTAATTGATATAGTGTAAATTTTTTTTTAATTTTTGAGGGTAAGAGCTTCAACTAGATACGAATTATAATCATTTGACGTATTATTAAAAAAGTAGGTCAAGTAAGAGCAGAGAAACTAAATTATAATAAAAAAAAAAACAATATAGTAATATAATTTTAACATGAATAAGAAACTTCTTCTCACTAGGGGAGACTACAGTGATGGGGTCGGTCATTGATATTCATTGAAGTTATTCAATCTAAATGAGATAAAAATTAAATGAATTCTGAATTTTTTGTCTATACTTATAAATAATTATGAAAAAAGTGCAAAAAGAGTTATTGCAACGAGCAGGGTTCAAATTTCGTAACCTATGCGTGAAGACCTTAGTATTACCGATGGGGTTAATCGTACATGGCATTGTCGGAAGATAAAATTTTTGAGGCTAATGTTTTTGATGAAATACAATTTATGATATTTATTGTTCATCAGAATCGGTCAAGTGAGACCTGAGAATAAGTTGTAACAGACTCGCCTACAAAAAAAAAAAACATATCATAGTAAAATTAATACCTTCTTAGCTACGCATCGAAGCTAAAAAGTGTTATTCTAATGACTTGAAAAGTATGAATTTGCTTAAAATTTTATGGAGAGTTGTTAGAAATTAAGCAAATTTATAAGTATACAATATCCAACAATGACACATTTAAAGTCGAATTAAAAAAATTTTCCATAATTATTTTTATTATTAGTCTTTGCAAATGTGAATAATAACATGCTGATGACAATATAATCTATTTTTATAAATTTAAAAAACACAATTTAATTATAGTAATAAAAAATAAAGATTTGACCGTGTTAACCTAAATTATCCAACGATTTTCAAGGGTTCACTAATAAAATTCGGTAATCTATGCAAAGTTACTTTCATAGCCATGTCGAATAATGTAAGTTAGTTAAACATTACTTAAGTGTTTATTGATTCGATTTTGATACCAAATTCAGTATACTTAAGCATTTGTGTTAAAAATAAAATAAGATCATAAGGGTCTTATCATCGTAACAGTTAAGTGCATTATACTTTGTAAGTAAAAAAAAAAATCTCAGCTCGAGTTTTTGTTATTCCTTATTGTGTTTAAATAAACGAGTTCTATCAGTTAGAGCTTGAAAATAGTTATTCCGAATTCCTTTCTCATCTGCTAAAAAAGTAACGTGTCTAATAAAATATATTTGTTTAAGTTTTTAAAATGTCGTTTGAACAATGACCTTTTCCTTTTTTTAGCGCACTGTATATTCAACCTAAACTATCTCTCAACAATAAAATGATGTTTCGAAATTGACCTTTTCTACAGGTCGCCCCGTTTCTTTGGCATCGATATGTTACGTGTTTACCCGAACATGAAGTATAAATAAATATATGAACTAAAAATAAACGTTTCAGTCTACTACTACTTTGAAATGATACAATTTGACTTGATTTTTTCACGATAAAATATCTGCTTTGACAAAAGGAAAACCATTCCTTTTCAAAAATCATATACAATTTGTACTTTGATATAAACAAAACTGTTCTATCTTGACGATAAAAAATTCATTTGTATACGTTAATATGTATACTTTAAAAGTAAATCGAATGCCAGCGCATATATATGTGTGTAGTTTTACATTATCCGCATTGGCTATAAACGTAATGAGCATTGATTAATACCAAAGTTACTCTTTCGCACCACTTGGTTTAAATTTGTCAGATTTACATTTAGTACCAGGAATTCATGAGGTATTGTGCAACGAGCTTACAAAATGAATATTTTTAGGTCAGTATCGGCATTTTGTTACAAATATCAATAAATCTAGTACCAGGAATTCATGCGCATCAGTGATGCAATATTATGTCTAGGCTTCACATATGAATACTTGAAATGGTGTCCAGAGTCTCGCTAGCGACAATAAAACGGTCATTAACATAATAAAATAACAGTATCACAATAATGAAGTTAACTATCGAAGATTCATACGAGTTTCTGGTACTAAAATTTTAACTTTTATCTATAACTCATTGAGTCTAAAGACAATTTTGATACGGCCGCCTAAAATGAATTGATTGTCATGCACCAAAAATCGCCAAAAAAAGTTAGGCGGTGCGGGGATTTGACACCATCGCTAAGGTGTCACCACGTCGCAGTGCTCAACTACAATCGATGAACTCGTTATTACGTGTCCAATACATACTTTTTGAGATATTAAGCACGCGACCGTGTTAATTATGTTTTTACATTATACAATTATTTTGTATGTCATCTTGTCAGAACAACTTTTTAGATTTTATTTTAGCGTACATCTGGTTTAAGATAAACTTCTGTGGTATGAGTTTATATGGACGAGGGTTATACAAGTTATTTTTGTGTGTTAAAAGTTCTAAATCGAGCCCTGATTCAATCAGATTGGTATAAATGGACTTTAAAATTAAGCAATATAATTACATTTATCAAGTGCATATTTTATTGAAATACTCATTAGAAATTACAAATCATTTTGCAATTAGCTAAAAAGTGATATTTTTATAAATAATCTAGAACGTTTAATTTTTTTTAACCATCCATTATTCGACGTTGCAAGACACCTGGTAGTCTGGATATTTCTTCTTCAATATTTCCACAGTGATGTTGTGATCAGCGGGCCCATATTGCTGAAATAAAAATAATGAATTTAATTTTCGTTTATTTTAGTTATACTACTGATTATGATTTAATTTGTGTAAAAATGAACGTAATTTATTGCCGGTTTGTATAAATGAATTTTATTTTTTTATTGTAATTCAGTGGCCTAACGATGACTTTCAATTAAAAGTACTGGTGATAATGTATAAATAATGATTCAATAGATTTCATAATGATTTTATGTATATAATTTTTATCGATAAATAAATTATTATCTGAAAAATAAATAACTCATTTTCAACTGAACAAAATTAAAAACAACTAACCCAAAAAGAAATAAAAATATACTGATAAAAATTAAGAAATCTTGAGAACAATGTAATCATCGTCAGTGCTAACCAAATACTGATGTCATTACTTAAGTGAAAACATTCAGATATTTCATAAACGACACAAATCATTAATTGTAATTCTAAATATTTTCAAATCAGAACTACAAAAATCAGTATCTGATACTCGTATAAAATTCAAATCTGACAAGTTGTTTTTACACCGAAAATGTAATTATGTACATTCTCTTCCAAATATGAATATGTCAAGTTTTAAAAATTAACGACTATAGATAATAATCTGTTCGAGAAAAACAAATAGTCTATTTATAATGAGGTTTATATGAAACTGCTTTTCTAAATGATCTTCTATTATTACAACATAATTCGACAATGTTATATAATATATTTAGCTATAAAATTTAATTTATGTTCTCGAAAGTTAATTTTATTATATCCTTAAAACTATCCCATCAAAGTAGACCAAGCTCAGTAGTATGCTGTTGGCAGTAGAAGTATTATTCATATATAATTAGTAATAACAAACATCAAAACAGTCATAGCAATTAATGTGGATATTTTAGTTCGGCAGATTAATAACGTTAAGGTTTAAATTTTCTTTGGAATACAAACGATTGTCGTTTCGAAGGACGCCGCATTAGTTTTAAACGATTAAATAATCACTGGTCTATAAAATAATTTCATAAGTACACGTTCTATTCCGATAAGTTGGATTTTAATGGGTTATTTTGGAGCCTATAAGCTTTGCACTATTAGAGTAATAATTTAAATTATGATTGAGAATCGATGAAAATATTCCCATTACTCTAGAAGATTCATGTTTATAATAACTCATTATTTGATAATGGTTCAATACATTACACTTGTTATAAACTTAAAGGATTTGCAAAATGAATTTTGGACGAAAAACACTAATAATGTTGTCATAAACAGAAATAAATATTTTAAGTATTCCAGGACATTAACTTCGGTGTAATATCAAATTATTAGATCAAATAAGAGTTTCTAGGAATAATTTTTTTGGAATTTTTTGTCAATTTGATTGATGTCAAGCTGTTTTATTCATACGCTTTTGGCTATTTATATACATTAAATAAACAAAATAAGTTTACAACAATCAAAGTTTTCTAATGGATATTTTGATTGATTTGATTTCCATTATGTATTATTCAAAGTTTTCGAGTTTACAAAATGAACAGTTCGAACTGACAACTCTTATAACTTTTGATACGATTAACATTTCGCCGTAATTATTTTAAAAATAATTCATGCATCCTTATACTACGTAAAGCACATTTTTTATTATTTTATTTAACTACAAAAAAATAGCTAGTTTTTAGCACTTTTCTCGCAAGAAAGAAACATTTTTAAGACAAGTACTCATTGAGTTAAAAGCATCTTAAAACATAGGCTGGGTAAGTGGTTACAGTTCATGCTAGTGAATATTTACAACGTATTAACACCAATATAATTTTGATATGGTCTAGAAATGTATAAACTATTGAAAGAAAATTTATAGCGATATGCCAATTGTATCAAAAGTTGTAAGAGTTGTCAGTTATATTTGCTCCACTCTGTAAAATATTGAACTAGTTAACTGATTCAAACTCGTTCATAAAATTCTTTCAAAATGCGTTCATACATTACTACCCACATAGTTTTTGCAGTGGTGTACTATAAGATCATAAAAAATTATGTTACCCTAGTAGTGGTATAATATTTACGAATAGATTATTACACAACATTTACTTGCTTGTGCACCTTAGTTCTAAATAAAATAAATCTCTTAGACAAGTCCCATTACACAAATTACTTTTTCAAACTATCAGAAGAGTTAGTCTCGGCCGTTGCTGCTTAACAAGGACCAAGTAAATATCATTTCATAAACTATCTACAAACTTTCCGACTTGACTTTCGAGTCCCTAACACTTTTATTAATGTATCGAACGGCTTGATACTATTCCATTAAGGTAGTTCACGACTAATTGAAATTGATATAATAAAAAAATAATATTCCTCGAATTTACTCAAAGGTAAACGTCAACATTTTAAAATACTTATTCACATATTACAAATATGAACAATTATTTATTTGGACTTATAAATTAAATTAAATTACAATTTATTTATGAAAATATACGATGCATTCAAAAGCAATTGACCAGATGTCACAGTTCCGAATGAAATTTAAAGTTTTATAATTCGATTTATTAAAAATAATAAAGATTGTCATTTTGAAATTGATTACTGTTAATTGTTTATATTCACATATCCAACATAACAGATGCTCTTTATTTAACTATTATAATAATTTTAATATAAATTATATGACAGTTAATTTTAGTCAAGGTCTACAAAAAAAAAAAAAAAGCTATACAGGTAAAGCTTTAGAGATGGTAAGGAGAGGTAGATGTTTTAGGTCCCATACATTTCAAAGTTTTTTCACCAGTTATATAGAATGCCTAACCAAAGAAAATGTTTCACATTTTTATTAAAAAAAGATAAAAAATTACCTTTTTCTTAAAACATGTATACGAACTTTCCACACATGTAGTTTTTAACTACATACGACGTATGGAAAATTTTGACACTTTAGTGATAAAAGTTGTACATATGAAATTTGGCACTTTTATGAGAAAATATTACTGTTCGTAAATTTAATGTGTATATTAAAAATATCATACTGGAGCATGGAAATTTGTGTGGAATTATTTTAGTAAAGAATTTTCAGTACCATTAAATTCTCAATTGGCTCTGATTTCAGTTTACGAATGTTTGGAAACAAAATTAACAATTGATTTGTTTGAATAATGTTAATTTTTTTCTTTAAATGATGGATTGACAAATTCTCTGAATTTTTCCAATTCATAAGAAACACTTCGTATCGTAAAAAATATTTCTTTAGTTTTGATGCGAATCTGAGAACTTCTCAGGTTCGCATATTAATACCTTTTTAGTGAGAAGGTATGAAGGTAATTTTGCTATGATGTGTTTTTTTTTATGTTTTTCGACACTTTTTTCAGTTCTCACTGAACCGATTTCTTTCAATAATACATTAAAAGATCATAAATCATATCTAGTTGAATACATCGCCTTTAAACATTAAAAAAATTCTCGTTAATTTAGAAAATCCTTAAAGATTTTGATTTTTAAAATTGGTAAATTTTACATTTTTTTCTTAAAACTACCATAACTTTTTGAAAAATTAATAAAAATAAAATTAATATTTTTTTATAAACACATTATACATTTCGTGTAATTTTTTTGAAAATTTGATAATTTACGTGCTATAATAGCAAAAATTCAAAATAGCAACTATTGCACAAAAATTTAACTTTTAAACATATGTTAAAACAAAGTTTATATCATGTACTATAGTTTAAAAAGAAAATTTGCCCCGACACTTTATTTTCTATGAGCAAAAGCTGCCGTAGTTAAATAACATAAAATTTTTGTGTTAAAATTTTCGTTTTCATATTTTATTTTATATTGCTATAACTTTTTGAAAAAAGCTGGTATTATTACTTTCTGTTTACCCCTTTCATTGTACATACTTTTTTTTTATATCGGACAATTTTCCTTTATACAAGCAGAGTTCAAACTTGAAACATAAACTTTTTATATAACACACAAACATAGAACTTTTTCAATCTAACTTTTGAAAATGTAACGGAAATTCTCTGAGCTTTAAACATAACTAAAAAAAAAAGAGTGTACTATATATATTTTTAGTTACAAAAAAAAAAAATTGACCCGACGACTTTATTTTGTGTATGTTTATATTGTATTCTGTAATCTCAGACAGATATCATCTATACTTGTCACAACTATGCCATGTTAATACTGTACCACACAATGTTACCGTTTATTTAAATAGAGTAACCCAGGGCACTTTTTTCTGTCCATATAACTTGTAATAGAGTAGTGGTCAAAATTATAAGACACCCCCAAATTTTATATTTCTCGCGCTTAGATTTTGGGCTTGTACGCTAACGTAAGCGTTCGAATCATCAAGTAAACGCATGAAATATTTTTCTTTATATAATGTGTTCATAAAATTAAAAGAAAAACGATTATTTTGGATTACTTGCCTTTTGAGCTTAATATTTACTTACATTTTTGTTAAAAATGTTAGTTTTGCAAATACAGCAAATTTAGTAACAATAATAGTAACATAATAGAAAATACTTGTAACACACTAGTTATATTTTATACACTTCTATGGCTTCTTATATTTTAAGAATTTCTATGGTTTCTTATTTTTTATACATTTCTATGGCTTCTTATATATTAAATATTTCTATGGCTTCTTATATTTTAAACACTTCTATGGTTTCTTATTTTTTATACATTTCTATGGCTTCTTATATTTTATGCACTTCTATGGCTTCTTATATTTTATATACTTCTATGGCTTCTTAAATTTAAACAATTCTATAGATTTTTAAATTTTAAATATTTCTATGGCTTCTAATTGTCATGTGATAACATCATAACAAACTTAATTATCCAAATAACATGTAAAAAAAAAAATTACGTAGTTGGATGATAATAAACATTTTTTTTTTTTTTTGAAAGCATTTAAAGTAATTTAATGGCTAAAATTTGCTGTATTTGCAAAAATAACATTTTTAACGAAAATGTAAGTAAAAATTAAGTTGAAAATGCAACTAATACAAAATAAGCGGTTTTCTTTTAATTTTATGAACACATTATATAAAAAAAATGTTTCATGCGTTTGCTTGATGATTTGAAAGCTTCGTACAATTCTAAAGGCTAAGTGCGAGAAATATTAAATTATAGAAAATTAAAAAATGAACATTAAACGATATATACATAATGTCGATATTATCGAGAGAACGACGAGGATAAGAACGATATTTAAAAAACAACGTCATATAATCATAAAAATAAATTAAATATTCCTAACAGTATTACAATAAAATAACAAAATATTTATTAGTGAGTATACCACGGCCTTAGATTACTATACACCATGGCATTCATTTATGACACCTTGACATGAACAGAAATGTAAGCAAGAATGGATGATAACACTGTACGGAACATATTCCCTAGACAGCTACAGTGGCTGCGGATATTTGTAGAAGGATGTCTGCTACTGATGTATGTAGATTGGATATAAATCTGTGTAGAATGGACAAAGAATACAATTGTTTACTTTAAATGTGTAGAACGTGCAAAGAAAAGTTTTGATAACGTTATTTTAAAAATAACGTTAAAACGAAAAAATTGATTAATGTAATTTCACTAATAACTGATAACAAAATAACCTTGATAACGGTTTTTGCAAGGTATTGTTAACATAAAAAATTTCATAACGTGTTGAATCACTAATAAAATAAAATAATTTTTTTCGATGTTGGAATCTTATCTTGCATGAACTTCTATCCTAATTTATCTATTATAGTAAAATGAGAATCTTTACCTAACAAGAATAATTAAAACTATAATGAAAGAAAAAAAAACAGTACGGTGAGTTTCCTATTCACCGACTATCCGGCATATTGATAAAATATTATAATTAATTTCTCTTTCAGAAAAAAACTTAAGTTAAAATTTTACGAAATATATGTGACATATGAATTAATCAATAACATGATAAAATATTTTATAAACTGAGTATTTCTTTTAAGGCTAGCCACTCGATTTCATTTAAATTAATACATTTTTTCTAAATATTTTTTATGTTCATTTCTTATGTGTTTTGTCAATTTTATTTTTTTAAGTGACAACATCATATTTAACTAGCTAATAAAATAGAAATTTATGTAATTAAGAAAATGACTGGTCGTTAAAAACTTTTGTGTCAGTATTTCAAGAATCATTAGCACTACTTTTCGGTCCTAAATTTAAAAATGTTAATAACTTTTGAAATACTGATTTGAAAGTTGTTATCAATAAGTCATTTTCTTAATTACATAATTTTCAATACTAAAAGCTAATTAATTAAGTATGTTGCTAATTAAAAAAGTATAGTTAAAATATTTTAACACAAATATTTTTCTTTCAACTTTTGTTACTGTTTTTTGTTTTGATAAAACGTAATTGGATTGATTTTCAAAAAATGTTAAGAAACCAGTTTAAGTGTATTAATTATATACTAGTATCATATATGTTGGTTTACGATAAAATGTCAGTAATTTCAAATATGTCAATCCAATTATTGTTTACAGCATAAATGGCTCTTATAATTTCATATACTCTGTTTACTAACAAGAGGTCAATATGGTTCGACATCATGGCCTATATAGAAATAAATGCATCGCTTTAACTTTTAGTTACGACCTTTAGGCATTACTGTTATATTCGTTGCTAATAACAGAGCACCGTGTTATATTTAAAGGGAACAACATTTCAATAAAAATATTAAAGTTCTTCACGTTTAACCGTATCAATATGTACGGAACAATGAAACTGTTGATGGTTTTTTATCCAAAGTATTATTAAGATTTTTATTAAAGTCTATGAGTACAAAGGAACTAGAACCGTGGGAAGGCAGGGGCAGTTGTCCTCTATATTGAATAAATAAATAAATATATATATATTATTGTTAATGATCTAAATTTAAATCTAAGTTAAAAAAATTTATTTTAATATTTTGAGTAAAAAAAACTCGTTTAATATCGATTTATATTTTGTGATTATCCCACAGTTTTATGTTTATTGTTAATCTATTATAAATTGTAGTCTAGAAAATTGTATTGACACAAGTAAACTTTATTATAATTTTAATTGTAATTAAGGTTTTTCCAAAAATTAATTTTGTATTTTATTCAGTATTTCTAAACTTAATTATAGTAAAAGTTATTTTGCTTAAAAAGTTTGATTTAGAATGTCCTATAAATTTAGCTAAACACTTTACAAAATTAATGATAGGGTAATTTTTTTTTATTTATTGTAGTTAATAAAAATTTATAATTAATTCTATTTTTCTATAATTAGGCTTAGATTATGAAAATAAATAAAATATTACTAAGAACATTAAGGTATATAACTGATCACTCATTGTTAATATTATTAAAAATTAAAAACATTAATTTTAAACTAAAAAATATCAAAAATATTCAATTCATATATGAGCATGTGATTAGCACACGTGTTATATACACATATGAAAGTTTTAAGTATTATTTGTGGATTTTTGAGTTAAATATGTGTATATATATATATATATAATTTTAACATTTCTAATTTTAAAATGTTAAGCTACTTAGATAAAATTAAAGATATAAATCCACCAAATTAATACAACTAAGTATTTCGATATTGATAAGTGCAATACAAAAAAAAATAATTATTTCCGCTTCAGAATTAATATTATGATAAAAATCCAATAAAAAAATATTTTACTTTTATTTAATAGTCAGTTTATTCAAGTACACAAATTTTATTTATGAATGATATAATATAAACTCGTAACTTCCGAATTGCGTGATTTTGTAATATCATCAGGGGAGGGGTACGGAATTGGAGAGTTCAACGTTTAGGTTAACAATTCATTCATTTTACATAATAATATAATAACACACATTATATTAATTTTGGCGTTTTTCGGTGGCGTGTTAAGCCCTGTAGTCTGTCATAACGCTGTGAGTGGCCATACTATTATTTTAATATTGAATATTAGTTTGGCCTCATTTTGAATATTCATCGGAGTAAACAACCAATCACATAAAATTTCCTACAAACTTCATGGTGGTCGATTAATATATTATATAACTTTTTGCTGACCACTCTAAAAATATGAGTGCTTTTGTCCGTAATTATTTTTTAAATTTGTAGTTCCCAGGCCAATTAGAAAAATCGGAAACTACTAGAAAACCGTATATAGAACGAATCACGAAGGTATTACAAATCTAATTACTTTTGATCCAATTACTATTTCGTGAACATTTAATTTGATAATTATTGTTTTTTTAGACTTTTTTCTTATGAAAAAAACTTTGATGATTCGATAATTTTAGGATAAGTACTTAATTCATACATTGGATGTGGACGACAGGCAGAGAATACGTACACTATTGGTTAAATATTTATATACTAATAATTGTACAACAACTATTGTAATTCCCTAAATATTTATATTGATACCGAGAAAAACATAAAAAAACTAAGAATCCTGTATAGTAGATAGTAATATTATATCAAAATTTATTTTTAGATAATAATGTTTAGCGTAAAAAATCTATAGACTTATACCTAAAATGATGAATATAGTTAGAAATAAGTAATAAAAAATATTGGAAAATAAATTCTCATGTTTAATACGATTGAATATAAAATTTACCAAGTTAAGAGAAATTCATCATAATAAATAAACAATTACTATTATTTTTTAATTTAATATTGACAGTAGATGTTAATTTCAATTACACCTACATGATATGTTCTTATAGCTTTAGTACAACTTCATTAAAAATCATATAAAAATAATAACATAAAAACTCATTTTAAATAAAAACAATTTTACATACCTTTTTATTCAAATGCGAATTTAGATTACATAAAAAGTACGTATGAATTAGGGAATTTTGTAATAAATAGTATTATTTTTTAATAAAATGACAAACACAAAAACATTGTCAACTTACCACAGATGCTCCTTCGACTAAAATTGATTTATCACCGTGTTCTACCCATCCTCCGCCCATCATTTTGGTGGTGACATTTAACTCAACAGGTTTGATAGTTTTTTTTAAATGGTCGTAAATGTCAGCTGCAAAAAAAGTACTGTTAACTCTTATGGAAATCATATTTTTAATAAAAAAAAGTGCGTAAAACATTATGCATTAACGATTTTAAATAAATATTAGATAAAATTATCATTAACTGGATATTTTAATAAATACACTTGCTCACTATGTAATATCTCATGATTATTTTTTATTAATCAAAAAAAAAACAAATGAGTTTATTATTAGAAAATGCAATTGTGAAATTTTCATCCTATCTTCTAATTTTTATTAATAAATTAAGGTATGTGCGATTTAATTATGAAAACATATCTGACTTATTAAGTTGATAAATCTCCTGTGTACATTCCGGATTATAAAAGCAGTAACAAGAAAATAACAATAAACAAAATGTTTTTGAGCTTGCACGTGGTGTTTTAATAATGATAAAGTATAAATAAAAGTATGTAGTGTCATACACATTTAAAAATAAAATACTTTGAAAAAAGGAAATTTTACTACCTATACTTTCTATAAGTAGTATTGATTTTATCACAATAATAAACTTTTCCTTTAACTTTTACTCTAAATATTTATTTCATAAAACACGTTTCATTACGTTTGGGATGTTTATTATATCGATTTTTACATTTATTTATAGCGAATTTAATGATATGTTACCGAACACGCTTATTTATTATTCGTAACAATTAACACGGAGGGGAGGTGCTGATTATATATTACACACACGTACATAACCTGGAATAATAGACAATTGTAGTTGCGTTGACACCGCAAGACTTATAATTCTGTTTAATAGACAAATAAAATTTACATCAACATACCAAATTGTCTATATCTAATACTCATCAACTTAAACCAATTCAGTCAACACTTGGATGTACGTTTTAAATTACTGAATAAACTTTCTGCGCTATGATTCAGGTCAGACACATTACATTTATCAAACTGTATAAACTTTATATCTACTTAGTCGTTTAGATAATCAAAAGCTCCATTTTTATTGCTCAATTTCATATAATAAGCACATAATCTACTAAGCACATTTTAACCAATTAGCCCTATGGGCCATATTATATTTAAAAATAGAACACTGTTTTGCTTCCAATTTGATATGAGATTTCTAAGAAAAACCACACTCTAAATAATATTCATGTACTTATTTAATGAAAATCTGAAAAAATTCTCTATTAACACTTATTAACAAAACATTTCCAAGATCAATGATGACAAAATTCAACTGAATAGTGATTTATTGAATGAGTGAGTGATTAAAATACTAACACACACAAAATATTCAAATTTGGAATACTACATAAGATACTGAAATTTCTCTATTGGGATTTCAAGTTAATTGGTAACAGCTTTAAACTTACTAATATAATATAGTTTGTTACTAGTAACAGCTGAATTTAGTGTTGCCTTGAACCGCTAAACTATATATATATATATATAAAAATTATTTTGGCATTTTTTAAGTAATACATATAAATAATAAATCTATATGAAAAATAACAAAACGCAAATATTATACCTAAAAAATAAAATTAAAGAAGATAGGAAAAAGTTGTTGAACGTTATAGAGTTAAAACGTCAACGTTATTTGACTACTTCTAAGGGGAAATTGTTATTTTATACATTTACCTTTTTTGACCTTAGAAAAAATATTTACTCCTATAAGGAGTTTTCTGGAAAATTTACAGAATCCCATAGAGTTTATATAAAAGTACTATAAATAGATTTTTTATTTGAATATTCTATTTTTTATTTCTTTTGTTTAAACAACTAAATTTTTTTTAGATGAAAATAAAAATAAAAAGATATATTTTATTTTGAATTTATTTATAAATTATACTAGGAGAAACTGAAGTTAGTGGAATAGTATTTAGGACACCATAGTGTAATCAAAATATTTTTAAAAATAAATAATTTGTTTGAGTTTGTATTTTTAACAAAATAGAATATTTTATTTAAAAATACACGTAATGTATTAAGTTGATGAGTAAACAATAAATTTATTAATACTAATTATTTTATATTCGATGTAGGTATGTTACATTGATTAATTACAGCGAATTGTTCTTTATTTATGTTGACAAGTGGATTTTATTATAAGAAAATATATATACATCATAAAGCATACGATTTCCATTTTTTCGCTAAATAATGATTTTTTCGTAAAAATATAGAAAGATTCATTAATAAAGATTAAAATTTTATTTATTTTTATAAACTATTGTATCAAGTTTATTGTAAGGAAAAATGATTTTTATGGATATATTTTACGAATAAATTTCGAAAGTTAATAGGAACCTTTTATTATAATTTTTTCTATTAAATAGAAAATGGTCTAAATAAAATTTTGACTATATGAAAACCAGTTTCGTATTATTATATTAGTATTAGCATTTAAATATTTAGAAAAGGCGAGGAGGAGGGTAATGTTTAGCAACACTCTACTTTTACCATACGAAGAGATAAGAATTATTATACGTTGCACACCCCGTTCGCCTATAACTAAGTTATAACAACTTAAAAAACCCAGCACAGGGGGGTCGCGGCACAGTGGTGACGTGGCATAGTCGGATCAAGTAAATGATATCTGACAGTGATTAAAATCACTATCAAAAATAAACGCTTCGATGCAAATCTTTAGATAGTGTTTAATTTTAAAAAAATTGGTGTTTTATTCCAAAAGCTACTTGATCTGCTGGTTCCTTATTAATATCTCGATTAAGATAAAGTATGTCGAATGAAAAA